CGTGCTTTGGAAAAGAAGAACTTAGTCAGGGAACAACGTCCTGCAGACCCAGTCCAAAATGTAATTAGATATTAAGCTCATGAAAACTTAGCCTTTTACTTTACAAACAAACATATTCCTTTGATCTTGCACTTGTTAATGTGAGTCTTAAACACAGAAAAAAAATTTAAAGGTAAACTGAAAATGCATCATATATAGCTTTCTTTCCTCAGGGAGAAGAAAAGTGGGCTGAAAAGCAGTGGCCCATGGCAGAGACTTGTCACAGGATTTACTGCATTTCTGGAAAGGTCTCAGGTCTCATAGCACTAGATATTACAAGGGAACCCTAAAAAAAAGCTAAAACAGAGCCTTTTTTTCTTGCAAAGTCAGAAAGAAAGATGCTTGTGCTTACCAGCAGTCTATCAGCACTGACTTTTCAGAATTATGGTATGTTTCTACACACATCATTGCTTTGCTATTGCAGAACAACACCAATGTCTAATGCCTGCTTAACTAATCATCATCATCATCATCATCATCATCATCATCATCATCATCATCTCAAAATAATAAAGAAAAAATACCTTTAAAAAAAAAAGGATCCAAACTAATCACTCCAAGCTAGACTCTCTGATTATGCTGCAAATTGATTGGTCAAGTTCTATATGTATCTTTAGACAACAATTTTGGAGTTGGTCTACTTTTCCTCGGCTATCACTGCACTGATAAACCACTAGCCTAAACAGTCTCCCCAGGCTGCACTGAAGACAGGTGTTATGTTTTCTGTTTTTCCTCTTACTGACCTACCACCCTATATTACCTAGTCATTTTTAGGTTGAAGGTGGGAAGGGACAAAAGAGAGGATCTTTTGGGAATACAGCTGCTTCGTTCTGTATTACCAGTAAGTACCAAAAAACCAGGAGCCCAGACATACCATCACTTACACTCTGAGTAATGAAAATAGCTCTGATGATAGTTCTGCCAATAAACAAAGGTTTTATTTTCCCTCCTTTTCTCCTCCCTTGATTTACAACTGCCCCCACAGAGTAAAGTTCATCTGCAAGGAAGCTGTGGTGAGGGTGGAGGGAGAGGGGCAGCATCCCATGAGAAAGATGTGGGAGCAAAGGTGGACGTTGCAGTAAGGTTAAATGAATAAATTTAAATTTAGCCCGTTCCAGATCATGGCTGTTTTATTTTACAAAAGTTTATGCTCATCTTTTCAGACTCTCTCTTGGATTATCAAGTTTGAGTGGGAGCACAGGCAGCCCAGCAGAGACAAGGGCACACAAGGGAAGGCAGGAGCTGTGCACATGCTTGACTCCTTGCTGCTTCGTTACCAGCCACCTTTTCCTTCAGGGACAGTGCCTGACCAACACACACAGCTCTTCTAGCAGAGCCTTTGTGCTGCAGTTCTGCTATGCTGATACAGCATAGGCAGTCTTCCTCTTGCTCTCTGTCTCCTCCAACCAAGACATAAGCTGACAAAGACCAGCCTATTTGTGCCTATACTGAGATTTTTTAATTGCATAATTATGCAAATGGTGACAGGTGATTTTTTCTTTCTCTGACTGACAGTGCTTTGTAGTTCACCAGGCTGATGTGGAGATGCTAAAGGTTCTTTGGAAAAGCATCTTAGTGTGAGATGTCTGTGGAGGCCTAGAGCAAATCGTGGCTATAATAATCATCTTCTTTCATATTTTTTCTTTGCCTGCAGTTTCTATTTATTGCTGCTTTGGCAGCTGAGCCCTTACCATTAAGCTCCAGCAAGGAAACAGAAAAAGAAGATCAGCAACATATTACTGGTAGCTTGGTAATAGCAGCTGTAGAAATGCATGGCAGGATCTGAGGGCTGGAGGTTGTGTGCAGCACCCCTGCTGCTGATTAAACAATAATCAAGTTTCCAAGCTCAGTTGTGTTTTTTTTACTGAGTGCAAATTACATGATTACATAGGAAACAAGTTTCACCTTGAATATTCTCGATATGGCATAAGCAGGCAAAAATAGGCTCTGCTGTCCAGTTGCAAGGAATGAGGGAAATGCACTCTCAAACTGGCTCTTGTAAGCAAGTCCCTCCACTACTCCACTTTTGGAAGGAATTACCACAAATGGCTATGGGAAGCAGTCCTTCTCAATGACGTTTTCTTTAGAGCTTTTCAGATTAGGCATTTTTTCTGCATGAAACTTCAGCTTCCTTCTGCAGAGAGAATCTTGCTACCTTTCTTTCCATCCCCACTCATGGAGAGAGCAGTGGGATAAAATTAGCCTTGACAGAGAAAGGCTCTTAAGGAATTTGGATAGGTCAGCAGAAGTGGAAAGCCAGAATGCATACAGCAGCAGGATATGAATTCTGCAAGGATAAACTGAGATTTGCAGCATTACCCTCTGCTTTTGCTAACACCTGGTCTCTATTTTTTTTTTCAGCAGCAACATGCTGCCTTGAAGTCATTTGCATTTCTTAGCATATGTACAGGGTAAAAGCAAAAAGTTTTTTCAATGAGATTTTCTCTAAGGCTGGTATATATGCTTCTACTTCCACAAAATCTGAACTGGAAGGAGTAAATAAAATGCAGAGTTTTAAAACTAAAGTTTCTTCTGGTGAACAATAAATGTGTACTACTTGTCATTCTACCAGAGAATTCTCTTTTGGTCAAAAAAAGTTGTAACATCTTCTCAATCAATACACTGCATAATGTACACAATCTCACATGCTGGAACTTGGGACACTAAACTGCTACTGATAGGCTCACAGGCCCATGGGCTCAAAGGATGGTTGAGGTTGGAAGGGATCTCTGGAAGTGACCTGGTCCACCCCTCCCTGCTCAAGCAGGGCCACCAAGGAATGGTTGCCTGGGACAGTGTCCAGATGGCTTTTGAGTATCTCCAAGGATGGAGACTCCAAAACCAAATGGCTAAATATGTTCTAGTTAGAAGATATCCAGGTCCACTGGACATACCAAAAGACTTCTCTTCTAAAGGCCTTGAACCTATTCTGCATGCTTGCAGATGAAGCCATTGCTAATAGTGATCACAGAAATCTTGTCCTTGGAATACTCTGATATCCTTTTTGGATCTTATTTTTGGATCTCTCAGAGGAAAAAAAAAAAAAAAAAGAAGTGGGAACTGGGAAAGAAAAAGGAGAAAAAGGAGTCCTTTCTAATGAGGAAGCATTCTTCTGGTAGAAATTAATAGAATTAAAGGATTTCTAAAGGCACAGCAGGACCACAGAGAAAACAGCTACATATATAAACATTTCTTTTTGTATACTAATATGCTTTGGCATCCAGGGAAATTGCTCAGTACTTTTCATACTTTAAATAAAATTCCTATTGCTAATATGTAAACTCTTCTGTGGAGCCATGCTTGCTTACACAGTTTGAGAGTGACTAGAGATACACAAAGATGATTTCCCAAATAGTTTGAAAAACCACTACTTAAATTTAGGGCTCAGTTCAATAAGGAATTATGCTGTGTAGGGTTTCTATGGAATTTAGTCATAAAAAGTTCAGACTGTACTAAAAATGAATTAATTCTGTGGTTTTGGTATTCAATGAAGCCTCCTTTCCTCATGCACAAATAGCTAACACTATGCCCTGAAAGGCAGGCATGTCATAAAGGTGGAAAAGGATATTCTGGGCTCCAAAAACTATAGTACAGTGGATCTATTAAAAAAGTGAACTTTCTCAGAGTTTGTAAGATAATAGAGCTGCCTGCAGGCAGCTTTAACTTGTATACTGGTCAATTATAGGGATTTATGCAGCTATTTACCACACTCGTTAAAATAAATACTTACAACAGTCACCTGGGCTACATACGGTACCCATGTACTATGTAGAGACAAAATATGCTCAAGAAGAAATCAGCAAGTTTTGCAATACATATTTTGATCTTTTATAATGCCTTGCCATGCAAATATTTGAGTTGTAAATAATGATATAAGTTACAAATTTTTTTCTGAGGTTTCATAATATTAACTCAGACCACCTTAGTTTCTTGGAAGAGCTTATTAAAAACTAGAAAAAAGCTGAAGATGTTAACTTAATCAAATACTGAAGCTGAAGACAGTGAAGGCACTAAGACATAAGGGATTTTTCTAATGCATTGGCTTCATTTCTGTCACCAGACCCAAAGTTCACCATAAAAAAGGAAAAAGCCACCACTGATTCTTCCATTTTAAAAAAGTGGTCTTTTTGGAGGAGATAAAAATGTTATTTTGCTTTTCATACCAATTGCAACTGACAGGGACAGCAGATTGACAATGGCAAGTATCCAATATTAGTGCAAGCAACTGTGCTTGTAAAAAATATTTAAAAGGCAACTTCTGAAAAGGAGGAAGTTTTAACTTAGAGGTGAGACTTTATTTTTGGGGCTATTTTTAAACACTTTTTCTATTTTAAAGACATCTGTTGGAAGCAAAAATAACAAAACTGATTACACGCATATCTTTTTTATCTCCCCTTATGGTTGTGTGTTTTCTGTTACATAACTAAAGACAATTAGTACTAATAAAGGAGCTGAATGCCATTTCTTAAATATTCATGTGACAGATTGCATGCTTAAATCAGGTTTAGCTTCTTGAGATATAGTTTGTTTGGGTTTTTTTCATAAAATATATGACTTAAGGACCTCTACTAGCCAGCTTCTTATATATTTCTTTGTTTTTAATGGTAGGAAAAAATATAAAAAAATTAAATATTTGACAAAATACCTGAATCATAAAAGCCTGTCACAGGCTGTTAAAACATCTTACATACTTGCAAAATGTGCCTTGCAAAGCAGCTATCTATCACTTTCAACATGAAACTTTTGTTTCATGATTTTTGTTTCAGAAGGCTCACCAGATAGTTATTATAAAAAAAATTAGAGGCAACATAATTAGTCACTTCAATTAATCCAACCCTTATTTTCTTATCTATGATTATATGCCCAAATATTGGTGTATTACAACTTTCTTCTCTCTGTGAAATTATTGGAACTTTAAAAAAAAAAAAAAGTCCAGTATTTATTATTTTGTCAACAAATCGTTGCAGGCATTAGATCTGCTTTAGCAATAAAAATATACAAAAATTTCTGTAATCATGTGTCAGGAAATCTGTATTAGCCTAGAGTAGGCATCGATCGCTTCATGTATAATTTTTTTCTTACCACGAGATTATAAAATTTCAATTTTAATGATGATATGAACTCATTTCATTAGACAGAAATTGGAAAGATGTGGAGAACACTCATAGTGCTGTTCAGCTAATACATTGCTGGGTAAGGCTTTAAACATTTAAGTTATAGTGATGGGCTGCCCTGATCCTGGCAAGCTGTATATCCAAATCCTTCCACGTCAGGGTTTCTAGACATTTGCCATTGCTAGCAGGAACAAGGATGGTTGCAATTCATGCAATGGGAGAAGCATGGACTCCTCACCACCACAGCCCCTCCTCCATTAAGACAACACTCAGCCCCAGCATCTGAAAGCCCACTGTCTTTAGTCTTCATGGAGTTCCCAACCCAACAAGAAATTACAGTGTTGATGGCTTCTTTTTTCTACAGTGACATCAAACATTTATAGTGAGACATATAAGAATATATATATATTTATATAAATATATAAAATATTTATATAAAATATATAAATAAATACATATATAAAATATGGCATTATTTTCCAGAGAGATGATACATTTCACAGGCCACCTTTCCTTATCCATATTTCATTGTCATACAGAATTTTTCACAAAGTACATTAAAAAATCAACCTCAAAAAAAAAAAATGTTGCTAAAGCCCTCCTTATGTGAAAGCATCACATACCACAACAAAATCAAATCACTTCTCTTCCAATTAAAAAGACATATAACACCATGGCAGACAGTGAGTTTGATTATTTAAACCCACTGGTTCTTTTTCTATGCTTAGATGCAGGCAAATTATTTTTACCATAGTCAAAGCAAGCAACAATTGTGTGTCACATAAATGAAACGTGTGGGTCTCAACACCTAAGGTCAACAATCCCCCCATCTCGTTGACATTGTTTTCAACAGGAGTTCCTCATACAGAGTAAGTGCTTTGGTAGAATGTACCAAGACAACACAGAATAGATACATCTTTTCAAAATAAATAATCAAATACAAAGAGTAGTACTGTAATGGCAATTTTTTGTCCATGAATATTCTATATTAGTGTGAGCAGTAAGTGGAGGAAATGTAAGCCCTGTTGCACAAACTGAAGCAATGCACAGACAGAGGAAAGCTTTACCAAGAGCTTCAGTGCGACTGTTATCCTTTCCAGTGGCATAATTCAGTGATGGGTACATTAGAATTATCAATAAAATAATTTTAAAAAATTATCTTGGTATTTGTAGTTATAGCAAATAATAAAATTAAATCCCTTCTGGAAACGCTTCCTTTGCTCCAAAAATTCATTTCTCTTACCTAGAACAGGTCAGTGTGTATGCATACAGATTTATACACATTTGTAAATCATTCCATAACCTTACTTTTTGTTTGTATACAGACGTATACACTAGAATCATTGTGTAATATTTGGCATTCACATGTTACATTTAAATAAAGTTTATTAAAAAACAATTATATTAAATACAGACTAACAGAATATTCATAATATATTTTACAGAAAAAAATAGCCATGTCTTTATTTTAGAAATACATTTCTTTTAAAAGTTCTTTGAGATTTTTATAAAACTTTTTACCCGTGAAGACAAGTTTCCCATCAGACCTGTAAAAAAAGCTTTATCTTTAAATCCTTGTGGGTTTTTTGGTTTTGTTTTTCTTTTTTATACTTTTACAAGCTTAATGTCTATAAATTCTTTAAAATACAAAACCCAGTATCTTTTGGGATCAAATTGGTCACAGGCCATTCTTTACAAAGTCAGTGGAGACTCCCTGATTCCATTCTGAAGTGCCTTTTGTTTTTCTCTCTCTGGGTATCAATAGTGCAGGTTTACATGGGAATTCAGAGCTCCTCACACATCCCATGGGAAGCTCGATGTGTGTCGGTGGCAGGGTGCAGCTGCAGCAGCATCCACAGAGGCTGCAGCTCCCCATCTGCTGCAGGAGGCAGAGCTTGTTACTCCACACACAGTGCAGTCCCACAGTGTTTGCCCAGCCCCTCCGAGGTCTCTGTGAGGTCCAGTGGCCATGCACAGATGCCAGAAGAGCTGGCACACAGCCCTCATTTGCTTTCCAAGTTATAGCAGTGGACATCTCCTTTTCCCTTCCCATCATACCCAGGAAGTGGCTGTCCATATTTATCCACGCACCAGCAATAACCTCTTTTTCGGCCTTTGGATGGGCGACACTGAAACATAATACAAGACTCGGTTAGCACGAATTTTGTTTTCTCCACTTCTAGTATTAGACAGCACGGATCCCTGCTCCTTTGATAGCTGCCCTTCAATATCCTGATTATATCTGACAGAATCAAACAGAATATTTGTTACCACTACAATAAAAATTCAGCTTCTCTCCCCATCAATCCCTCTGGATCTAACTACTCTATAATTAAACTGCACTGAGAACTACCAGAAAATAGGCTTATGAAGTGCTCCCTATCACATTTGACAGCACAGCTGCCCCTTTTGAATGCCATACAACAATATGGGCTAGTGACTGGGACCCATCTTTAGAGAAAAAATTTAGCAGATATGTTCTACGCTAATGCACAGGTCTGGCAAAGACAACCATTGCAGCAAGAAACACACTTGGTTTGCATCTGTTTACTGGAGGAAATTCAACAGTGTAGCTGACACTTATTAACAGATACATAATTCTTCTGTAGTGTAATTATTCCAAAAACTGCTAGGTGGCTTAGAACTTTACATGCATATTTTCCTATTAAAAAAAGTTTGTGTATCTACTAGTCTACAATATGTTAGCTTTTAGTTACCTGCTGGAATTTGCCAACAATGCTGACCAGTCTGAAACTATTACAGGCAATAACACTGAACCTTTTCCAAAGCAGTAATGCAGTAAATACACATTATAAAGTCTACTACATAATAAGTAATAATGCTTATCCCAAGAAACCAAGAATGGCAAAAACTAGACTAAAGGAGATAACATGCTGCAGGCTGCATTCAGTATGCAAACCTGGACAGAGTTACATTACCATGAACCTCTGTGATCTTGCGAGGGTTTTACCCATTCATAAGCCATACACAGAATCTCACTGTGTTTGCAATGGTTTGCAAGTGTGTCTTGTCACTGTCAAGACACAGCCTCCCTGTCAGCTCATGTTTTGAGATTTGGTGATAGAGGATTTGCTTCAAATGCAAACAAAGGTGGCTGTTTACTCAGGACATACTGACAAAAGATGCAGTGACACCAACACACCAAATTTCCTGCAGTTGTGCCTGTTCCATTGCCAATATGAAGGAAGATTGGCTAGACTGGTGCTGCTTATGTCCCTCAACACTGTCAAGTCTATCATTCAAGCAGAGCAATTGTTGCCTCTGAGATCACATTCAGAGTAATTGAAGTTTTCAGAGGTTCAGGCTGGTACAATCTGGTAAACTTCAACACTATTCCTCTACTTCTTGTTCTCCAGAGTCTCACAGGCATGGCCTAATGTCTCAGGAGGCTATGGCAGTGGCTCACATAGGTGCCTTTTCCATGTGCAAGTACACAAGAAAACATTAATCAGGTTTAGGCTTCACATGCTGCTCGAAGTGACTGATCCTTTCCATGTCTAGTTTTGTATCTCAGGTGACAGTGCTATCTTGGACAGAACTGGGAATACAGATTACTTTGGGACACCTTGCACCAGCACACTGGCCCATGAGCCAACTAATTTGTGGCAGCATGGAGTAGGGTAGACAGACACTCTTCACTAAGACCTTGTGAAAGGGAAATGGAAGCAGGTCACACATCAGATACAAATTTTCCAAACAAGTCACCATCCTGCTTATTTTATTTTACTTTAAATTAAGTAATGTTATTCAGCATAACTGCAAATTAATCCATCCTTCTGATATATTACTGAGTAAAAAAGCCCAATGCAGTCCTTCTGCATTGGCCCTATGAAAATGGACAGCAGCAGGATGACAAGATCCAGCTTAACATACATATCAGCTTAGTTTTAGAAGAGGGTAAAGAAGTTCAAACCTACTGAGAGAACAGCTACATTAATAATTCACTGAACTAAATGGTTACTTGCACTTCGGATCTTTTCTATTACTAAATCTTTAAACATAACTCCTACAACTTATATTTATTGTCTCAAAAGCCTGACTAGAGCTTACATGAATTCTCCAGGATCTCCATGGATGACTGCTCAACATCCACTGATGTTAAGGGAAATTTTTCTTTAGTTTTGGTGGGGAATGACTGGACTCTACCTTCAGTATTATTAACGTTTAATGACTTAAATTCTTCATGCTCAAAACAGAGGAATTAATAAACAACAGCCTTTGCACAATATAGTTTTACAAAAAGAAAACTTAGCCAGCACTTCTAGAGTTGTTTTCCCAACAAAGTAGGCACAGATGGAACCCAAAGAGCACAGGGCATCTGGCTGCCAGCCTGGTGCTCTGGCAGTGAAACTACATTTCTGCTAATAATAGTAACATAGCCTCCCCTTTTAGAAGTACTATATGAAGTATGTTACACAACTCTCGCTGATTCATAGGCTTGCATCACTTTCAAAACAAATGATCAATTAAAGTTCTCATGTTGTTGGAGGCTTTGATTGCTTTTAACAGTTGCACAATTAATTTTCAGGATTAATTACTACACGAAGTTAATCTGCAGAAACACCTTTCCCACTACTATTTTTTTCTACTTCTTCTAGAAAATCAGTTTGAAAAGCAAAACCCTTAGATCATTCTACAGCTGAAATAACACTCTATGAGAAAACAATTTATCTTTTCCAAGTGATTTTTTCGTACCCACTCAGCCATGCTATCAATAGTAAAGCACTTCTGATTAAAAAGCAATGCTTTGATCCTGAAACAGCCAACACTCTCTACAGAAGTGGTAGACAGATCATATGGAAAAACATATAGATCTAAATATTTGTTCTTACAAATTTTGTATTCCACATACATTTCTAGGCTCTGCCCAGCTATTCTGTATGACTTCATAAGTTTAAAAAGTTGGAAAACTGCTCAAGCAGTGGAGACAGTAATTACTTCTGATAGAAACACCAGCTGCCATCTTCCATGCCACCTGCCCCTCTCCCTTTCCACAAAGAAATGCCACAGAGGCATTTATGGGGCACAGCAAAGCATATGGTATCCCACTGAATTCCTGGTCAGTCCAGAGGGCTCCATGGAGCTACAACCATGGCCTTCAGGAACAGACTGCAAACAACCTTGATATATACCTCAGGCCGTTTTGGCTCCTGGCAAGAGCAGCTCTGTTTTCAGTGGAACAATGCCAGCTCACATTTAGGTGAGTATCTGGCTCCAGTATACAAACACGGGGCAATTCTAGTAATTGCCTCATATAATAATTCTAATTTCATCAAAACCTTTTTTCCCATGCTTGAGGTAGGAATGTGTCTGTATCAACTAATTATGCATAAATAGACCTATACAGGAGAATTTAATAGTACATCCTTACATGTATGATTAAGACAAAGAATTATAAATTTTAATAGGCCTATTTTAAAGTTTATATATAAACAAGAGGTGTGAAATATTTTTCATGTTATACCCTAACATATAAATTTATGCTCTTAGAAGTGTTTCACATATTCAAATTATTCTCCATGGCTGTTCCTGAAAAGTCAATTTCTAAATATCCACAAATGTCATGAAAAATAAGTGCTTTCAACTTGACTGGAAGACTAGATGACCAGGAAGGCAGAATATGTGAGTGCCTCCTGAATGAGTTTTAATGGTGCCAGCGTGATCATAACTTATCAGATTCCTACCATCCCAAACCTATTACATTCTCATACTAGACAGGGGTTTGGCAACTGTTTCCAGAATTCAAAATGCCTAGCTTGCATTTATTTTTTAATACATTTGCTGTCTACTTCCTAACCTATTATTCTGAATTTTGTGACAATAAAATATAATTCAATTACAGATTGAACATGGCTAATAACGGCATAAAAAAAATAATAAAACAGCTTAGCTTTCTGTTAATGAGATTAGATACCCACTCACAGTATGTAAAATACCATGTTGATGCTTCAAAAAGAAAACCAAACACAATTGTCACAATTCCTTGCAGACAGTTAATTTGATCTGGACAGGACTCACTTCTCAAACTGATGTATTTTTCCTAGGAGTTAATTCTATTTACTCCTAGGCAACTATTATTTTTGGTTTGTATTTTGCTGGTGAGAAAATTTTGCTTGCTTAGAGAGGCTGTCTCCCTAAGTCCCATCCCTGAGGGCTTGTTCCCAGGGTTGATCAAGATTCATTTACAGAAGCAGCAACCCAAGTGAATTTCATGTAGAATGTTTATTCATGTGGGCTCCATTTGTGGGCATCTCCCGCAAGACCCTGAGTCATCTCAAAGTACCATTGAAACTACTAGATCTGTGTAAATTGGCACAGTGCTTGACAAGGCTGGCTAGATATGAAAGTGTCCCTTCATTCTCTATGTATGATGACCAGATGGGCTATTGCACATAGTGCAGTAACCTTTCCTAAAGAAGTTTTAAAAGTTTCCAGGCAGCACAGACAATACACAGAGGACAAAAGTGTCTATTTGCTTTGTACCAACACTTTATTCTTGCAAATCAGGTTCTAGGAACAAATACTAGGTAAGCTTTCCTATTTTTTTTCTTAGTATTTCCTTTTTTTTTGCCTTGGTGATAAAACTATGACTGTACTTTAAAGTACAGTCCTCCTTTCATGTAAGCCACTTTAATACATGCTTACTGTGGATCTGATTTACTACACACAATGCCAAAGACTATTTGCAAACCACTACATTTTTGCAGACAAAGCAAAAACCTCAGACTCTAAAGAAAGATGAAAGGAAGGTCTACTGAACAAAGTAAATACCAGTCTGTAGTCTTCTATAATACATAGAGAAAGAAAAGGGCTACAGCACATTTCAGTTCCTTGAACACAGTCAAATGATGTGCTGTTCTAGAGCAGCTAAGAAAATACTTTTATGACACAGGCAGAAAACACAGTCCCAGTCTCACTTTGCATAGCAGTCCAATGCATTTTCTGAAAACAAGCAGATTGAGATGTGAGCACTGCTCTCTGGTAGTTTACATGCAGCACAACATGGCTGATGCAGGCTTCTCAAAGCTCCAGGCAACAAAAAGAATCTTCCCCTGCTTGGGAGTTGCCACCACCTGCTTAGGAAAAGCTGGGAAGCATAGAAAAGCTCAGCAGCATGTACCAAATGTCAAACAGCACTGTCAATGCTGGACTGATGGCAGAAAGTAAGGCTGGAAATCTCACCCCTGTTATAAATGCTCTGCCTGACACTGACAGCTTATTGCAGAGCTCCAGGGAATACTAGAAAAGGAAAGACTGTTTCTAAGAAAGCTGAAAGCCAAAAAATGGAGAGATACCATTCCTAAAATAAGGTTGCCTGGTCAGAGGTTGACCTCTTACTTCCAACCAATGAACTACATTAGCAGGCAGCAGAGAGTCAACCACTCCTTTGGTTACCAGAGACAGAGAGGCTGATTAGAGTAAACCCGAAGGGAAAGACATGATGGTCCACAAACAAAATCTGTATGTGAGAAAAATCTTAAAGAAAACTTTGAATTCTGGAAATTTTGGAACTATACCAAGAAATATATATTTGGAGGCAGGCCACTAACTAAACCATGAAATTAGATGGGATGTACACATTAAACAAAGAACCTGACACATCTTGCACTTCCCCAAGTTCTGAATGAGCTTCAATGGCAGCACTAAATGGAAAATGCTGCTGTAGCTCAATCCAACACAACTAAAGCATAAATACCCACAATTTTGGTCAGCATTTGTCAAGAAAGGTAACAATCTCAGAATCAGAAAGGGCTGAAAAGCCATCCTTGCTGCAGAGTAACTACTAGAAGTATCGTTTTCATGATAATATGCCTTGGATTTTGGGAGCAATCTGTGTAGCACATAAAGGACAGATACATACCTTTCTCAAGTTGCTTTATGTAATATGATCCAGTGTAGTTCTTCTAGGAACCCTCGAGCAGCTATTTACAATTCAAAGCATTGATCTATTGCAGTCATGTGGTGCCTGCAACATTAGCTCTGTGGGTTATTGTAGAGGCACTGCTTTTTTTAAACCAAAGGGCATTAGTATCTAGGACACCAGTCAACCCATGTGTGACTAGGTATGAAGTTTCTCAAACGAATCTGTTGTCATGATCAACAGAAAATAAAAATACTATCCCTGTTTGACAAGGTTCAGCACTATTGGATCAGGACCTAAAACTGGAAATTAGCTAGTTTCTCTGCAAAATGATATATAAAGTACCTTGCTAGCAAGATCCTTCAACAAAGACACAGAAAAGGTGAAATGCCTTCATTAAAATGATCAAAACCCTGTACTTACTTGCTTTTTCTTGTAGAATCCCTTCTTGTCACAATTTGGAATATGAAAGCCCCTGGGACTCAAGACATTCAGGATCTTTAGGTGGTTTAAAGTGTCTTCCATTTCTCTACGACATGGACCCTGTTAACAGGCACGTTTTAGAAAACACAGATGAAATTTCACTCCCAAATTCCATCTTTCACTCAAGAGTTATTAAATCTTTAAAGCGCATAAAAGCACAAACCCAAACAAATCCATTAAAACAAAGAGATGGCTGAATATGTCAAAAGCAGATCATTCACAAAAAAATAAAATTCTGACTTTCTGCTCTATTCAAGATAAACTGATTTCTAAAGATTGAAGGCCCTGTGCTATGCTGAGGCACATATTGGCATTTCCAGTTGAATCCCACATATTCCTTTGGGAAGGCTTAACCAGTATGGAATTCAGTCACATATAATATAACTTGAGTTTGGAAAAACTGGCCTTGCACCAAGTGGGAAAATAAGAAAGTAGGCCACTGGATGTACACGCCTAGATAGGCCTTCCCCAATGACATTTGATTTTTTGTGACTCTGCTGGATTTAAATGAAATTAATTTAATTGAAAATAAGTGGTTTGGCATAACGTATATATAAAATGCCTCAACTTTGGACAATTCCCAATTTCAACTGAGTCAAATAGATGCAGTCATACAGAGGACTAATTGCACACAACAGTCTCATTAGATAAGCACATCACTTTTTTCCTCACTTTCTTCATCTGCAAAAAACTGACAACAGGTAGTGAGGATCAGCTCTAGGAGAATGAGCCAAAAAGAGTTTCCAGAAGCACTTCTAAGAGCGTGTCTCAAACACCAACTAATCATATCTCAAGGCAGCTCTTCAAGGTAGGGAGTAAAGACTTATGAACCCCACTTTGCAGTCAGAAAATCAACAGCAGAGGACTTCACATTTTTCCAGAGGCCAACAAGGCAGTCAGTGTCAGCAGTGGCATCAGGATTAAAGAGTAACAGCCTACAAACTCTGTGCTTAGCTGTACTTCCGGTTGGGTATATCAATGACTCGTGCCACCAGCCCACTTTTTCAGCAGAGACAAGAAAAAATTTATTTGCATGGTTTCATGGTTTAAAAATATTTAAGTTGCTGCATTGACACAAAGACTCATTTGGTGATGTTTTTAATTAGCGAAGTAATGACATGCATACTTTCAAGTGGTAATATTAATAGCTTGCTCAGGTAAAGGACCTTTAAATGTGTCTGAAAGCATACAATCTCCATAGTACTACTGGAGATTAAAATTGAGTTTTTTGGTCAATAAAGACCTTCCTTTTTGCCTTCACATTTTCTTTCTGTACCAGTCTCACAAGTTCTAAACATGGGCTTTAAATGGCTTCTCTTACTGCTCAAATGCACGGACTGCAAGTGACAGACATTCAGAGATTTGGTCCCAAATTAGGCCTACAAAAAGATCAACAGCTTTTTAAAAATTTTTGTTTTGAAGGAAGCTGCCAAAATCAGCCAGACCAATATAAAAAACTAAGATGTAGACACAGCTGACAAAGGCACCTTTCCCTGATGGACTTATTTCAGATTCTTAAAGACACCAGCAGCCCTGGTGAACTGGTATACCTTTGCTCATGGACCCAACTATCACTACTCATCCTAGTTAAAAATCTATTTCCTCATAGTGACCAACCTTCATTCTTTTAGTGATGGCACTTTTACTTCCCATTTTTGGGAGGGGGGCACACTGGAAGGCAGATCCTGAAGTGATATAACTAGATGGCTGGACGTCAGGACAAACTAAAATTGAAGATTGTCTTGGAAACCACTCTCTCTTCAGGCAGAGATTTTCAACTGATACAAGTTTCAACACTTTCTTGTGAAGATGAGAAGCCATGTCTGTTTTCAGCATGCCTGTTTTGATGAAATGCCAAAGTATATCCAGATGCTTTTTTCAAGTCATCTGGCCTAAGGTACAGGTTATCAGCTGGATGTCCAGGAAGGGAATGACTTTTGCCCTCATATCAACCACACTCCGACTGCCCTGCAAATTCACTGGGCACAGTCAATAGGAAGTAATGGCAGCTCATGTGACCACAAGACTTTGCATTTAGGCAGTAGCACTAAACAGCAACTGCTTGTGGAGGTGGTGCTTAGCATGTCATACAGTGACTGAATAGTCAAGATCCTAATCCTCAACTCAGCCTAAGTTTATCTCCTTTGATTTGCACCAGGAGTATATGAACACAGTGCCACTACTCTCAATGTGAAACATCTTCTTTTCCATTATTGCAACTCAATTATACTGTTTGCAACCAAGTTTAATAATGACACTATTAAACCTGTCCCGAGTCCACTCACACAAATGTGTGACAATTAAAGGGAGGAATAAGAACTTTCGACCTCTAAGAAACTTTAGCGAAATTCATGCTTGTATTCACGTAAACATCATTACGTTAGTCCTATGTGTTTCCTGAACATAATCTTCTTGGTCTGCTGATTGTGTATGTATTTGCAGAGTCAAAAGATTTACCAGTGAAAATGCCAGAATGTCCTAAAAGGCTGTAACTATTACCACTCTTTAGCTATTTAGTGTAATTATTTATCTTCTCATATGCACAACACACACATATATACAAACACACACACATTCACATGCTGGCAAATGCCTTCCTATTTACAAAAATACTTACATATTCAGTCTCTTGTTTGGATTCAGAAGAGAAATTCAATGTATCTGTACTCTGTGAATCATATTCAACTTTATAGCGTTGTGTATCTTTGGCTTGCACTTTCCTGATGATATCTATTTTGATGTGTGGTGGATGTGACTTGGAATCTGGCACCCTGTGAGAGTTCAGAAGGGCCTGATTTTCTATGCTGCTGCTACTCCTGTCTTCTTCCGAATCACTGAAATTTCCTTCAAAAAGAACAAATGCAGAAGAAACAATGTTACTTGGCTGCCAGCTGTGTCTGCAAGGGCATAGAAACATAGAGTTGGAGTTGGAAAAGACCCTCAAGGCTCCTCAAGCCCAACTCCTGGCCCTGCACAGGACAGCACCAAGAATCAAACCACATGACTGACAGTATTGTCCAAACGTTTCTTGAACACTGTCAGTCTTGCTGCTGCGACCACCTCCCTGAAGAGCCCACCCACCCTCTGAGTGGAGAACCTTTTCTTAACACCTAACCTCTACCTCCCTGACACAGCTTCATGCCACTCCCTCAGATCCTATCACTGCTCACAAGCAAGAAGACATTAGTGCCTGCCCTTCTGCTTCCTCTTGTAAGGAAACCGTAGAGCACGATGAGGTCTTCCCTCAACCAAAAACCGACTACATTAGTCTGCGTGTGTAATTCTCCTTTTTACAAAATAGCGATATACAAAAAAGATTTAATATGAAGCACTCCACATGTATCAGCGCCTTTGTTGCCAGGCCATGAGTTCTGCAACGGAAGCATTCCCATGCTCGGCCGCACCGCCTGTCCCTGTGCAGGCTGTACCAGGAGCTGCAAACCAGCCCCGGCAAGCACGGCCGCTTGCCCCGGCTGCCGCTGCAGTACTGCCCGCCGGCGGCAGGGGGCTCCCTCCCCCGGCACTGCTGACTTCAACCCCACATAAAGGCGGGCGGCCTCGGGCACTTACGGGCTCTGCCTGCCCCAGGGCCGTAATTTTTTTTTTATTTTTTTTTTTTTTTTTATTTTAAAGACGTTAGTACCATCAAGTCTAGCCCGTTGATTTTCCTGGTTCTAATTAGCTATTTCTTTCCTCCCTCCCCCCTTAATTTTATTCAACACAGAACGGGAAAGAAAATGAACAGCACACTTTCACTTCTTTCATTTCTTGGTGTACAAAACACATTTTAAAGGTAATGGACAAAACCTGCCATTCATCCTGTAGTGGTTCCAAGGACAAACACTGTTTTCATATTGAGCTTCAAAAATATTTTCTCTTTAAACTACCATCCACAAAAAAGTCAGCAGAACCACATTTTTCTAACATATTCCATAAGTTCAGTGTTACTGTGCCTTCTAAGGTATTTGTCTATTCTGCATTTCTCTCTGCTAGGAGACTCCTGCAGTGTAACTACTTGCATTTCCTTCAGGGAATTTTTCCAGTTAAGGTATTCCTAGCAGCTAAGTAATAGCTGAGCCCCACCAGTTGCTGACCACCTTCTTTCTTTCTTTTTATTTTAAGGAAATACTATTGGGAGTGCACAATGATACTAAAATTATACTTGATGATTCCCCAATTAAAAAAAAAAAATCACAAAAGTTGAGAAATTCAGAGCTAAAAGTCCATGTTCACATAGTTTGTTGATGCTAAATATTTCAACACAGGGAGTACAGTGGCACTGCCAATACACAGGAATGGAGGAAGGAACATAAGAGGAAGAGGGTTCTGAGTTAACATTTTGGTACTGGTGGTTTTAGTGCAGCCACTACTGGCAATGGACATAATTAATTAGGAAAATCCAAATCACAGGGCAAATGGATTAAGGAAGTTTAAGTCCCAAGTCCAAATTTCCTGGCTTTTGTGGGTTTAACTCAGACTCTCAGCGGTATTTGAACATATTTTTGGTGGTTTAATGTCCTGTTCTGAAACAGTAGTGTTTTTCCCCCCACACTCTCAGTGAAATTTGCAAGAAATTAGTCACTAAAATGATATAAACATGAACCTAGGTTTTCTGCAATCAGCCCAGTTCATTAGGCTTTCTCTTCTACCAAAAAATAAGCAGAAAATATTCTTAACGTGCACTGAGTAACCATGACCATGTCTGGTCATTTCAATTTAGGGAGGCCACCATAGATCAATAGCACTTCTTACACTTCAGATTTAAATGATCACATTGCCACATTTTAAACCATAAAGCATATTTGATTAACTCAGTTTCACAAAACTTGATGCCATGCTAGCTTTCATATCCTCATAAGAGAAACAGAATTGCCATGAGTTACCAATTCTCTCTTTTTTTTAGTAGATTAAAAATGTTGCAACTTTATAACACTTTTGTGCCCCAAAAAACAAAGTGGATTCTGCTACGATGCTACTGTAACATACTGTACCCTAGACCAGCTTCTAGGAATTTCTGTGAACTAGGAAGGACCAACAGAACAGCACATGATGCAGCACCCAGCTGCACGTAAAGGAGATGATGTGATCCTGCTCAGAGAGGTGTGTGTACACCAGGAAGTGTTGGCTTGGGAGCTGAGAGTGGAGTGGTCCTCATGAGGAAGCGGGCACTATGTGTCATACAGGTTCTGGGTACTTCTTCCTTCTTGCATAGCAGGTTTGCAAGCTTCACTCTTTGAATGTGAACTGTAAGGGTCATCCTATGCACTTTTTAAGGAATCAAAAGCTCCTACTGATTTCAAAAATTAGAGTTCTCCCTCAGCCAAGAATGCAGAAATAAGAATTCAGCTGAAAAATCTTTCCATATTCATCTAAGTACAACTGTCTCTTTCACTTTTTCAGTCACTGCTGAAAGCACTAGCCCTAGATTGAATGACACCAACTCCTAAGTACCAAGAAGACTCTTTTTGTTTCCAGTGTTACTCCAAGGATGAACAGGATGAGCCAAGCTCATGTGATGAAGGAAGCTACTCGACGTTCCAAGGAGGTTAAAAATTTCAGTTAATACCTCCAAACTCCCATTCAAATTGTCACAGCTTGGAAGCAGCACATAAATAATTATAATAAGGCATCTCCTATTATTCTAACAGGCAGTTAACTGGAGCATTGGTGCCACTTTCTCAGCTAAGGAATGGCTAATCAAAGAGTCCCTACAACCTGGCAGAAAAACCTTCTGGCTTTTTAAAAATGGAAATAGTGGAAAGCCTTTTGACACATTTTTCTATTAAAAAATGTTAACATACTTGCTGTTGGTTAGCAAACAGTTTAATTAAATGCTTGCATAGAGAGACTGTGCTGTCTCGATCTGAATCCCAAGTTTCCCTGTCTTAAGTATTAAAATGTGCATGCTAACAGAACTTTTTCCAACTATCCCTTCCTTTTCAAACAAAACTTGTCCTGTGAACATCTCACTTTCAAGACATGGAAGAGGTACAAGAATTCTTCGTTTGCCCAAGGATTTATTTGCAGTAGAGACAAAAAACAACGTCCTCTTAAACACTGTTGTGCTAATGCTTTGTTCTGAATAACCACTTTTCCAGGCCAAAGGAATTTTAAATTGCCTTTTGTTTCTGTCTTTTTCTCTCTGTGCTTAGCCTTGCCTGACTTACCCACGCTGCAGGGCAGGATTTAGACCCCATTCACTCGAGTTTTTTGCTCACTCTCTTTCCAGGTACGCCGGGGACAAACTGCGAGGATTATATCCTCTCTCTCTCCATTCAAGCTCTGTAGCCTGCCAGTCCCATGCACCCGCAGAAGCCACATGCAATCCCTCCCCCACTCTTTTTTTTAAAAAAAAAAAAAAAAAATAAAGCAGCTCTGCCTCTTCGGCGAGGAGCTGCTTCTCAGCATCGGCGTCGAAGAAAACCGGTATACACATAAATGAGGTGGAAGAGGAAAAGTGTCCTTTCCTTCGGCCAGAGCACACCTCTTCAAAGCGATCCCGGGCTCGGCTACGTGGCTACGGGCAGAGCCCCCCGCCCAGGGGCCGGCAGCGGGCGGACAGCGAGCGAGGGCCGCTTCCGGAGACACAGCTCCGCCGCGGGCTCGCCCACGCCTCCCCGCTCCGGCTGCTCCCTTTGGAACTTGAAACAAAAGAAAGCGACACACATGCACACTGAAGGATTGAAAAATAAAATGAAAACGACAATGAGGGAAAAAAACCCAGCCCAACAAGAAAGCAGCGAAGAGGGAGAGCGGCGCGCAGGAAAGCCCCCCCGTCCGCGCCTTAGCCCCTTACCTGCAGCGTGCGGTCCCGGCAGCAGCAAGGCCCGCAGCTTGCCGCCCGCCGTAGCGTTGGTGCAGAGCCCGCGGCCCTCGAGCAGCGCCTGCAGCGGCCGCGCCTCCTCCCGCCGCGGCTGGCAGCTGAGCCCCGCTCCGCAGCGCTCCGTGTAGATGCCGCAGGGCTGCCCCGGCCGCAGGGCGCAGGTGAGGCAGCAGCCGCAGCCTGGCTCCCGCACCCGCTCGGCGCAGTCGGGCTGCAGGGGCTTGCACTGCTGCAGCGCCCGCGCGTCGCAAGGCTCGCAGCGGACCACCGGCCCCGCCAGCGCCGCCGCCGCCCGCCGGACCAGCAGCGCCAGCGCCGCCGCCGCCACTGCCCACAGCACGCCGGGCCGCGGCACCATGGCAACCGGCGGAGGGGGCCGCCGGGAGCCGCCCCCGCGCAGCCCGGCCGGGCGCTCGCACGCCGCCGCGGGCGGAGGCAGCGGAGCGGAGCGGCGCAGCCCGGGCCGCCTCCCCTCCGAGGGGCTGCGGGCAGCGGAGCCGCTCGAAGCCTGCCGGCGTGAGGAGGCGGGGAGCCGCGCTGCCGGTACTCGCACGCCGGCACTCTCTGCAGTCGCCTGCCCGCAGTCACATCAAGGCAGCAAAAGCTCGATAGCAACAAAGGCAACTTTTTCCTTCTCTTCTCCCCCCTCCTCCCTGCGCAGCGCCTGAATTACTTGGCTCGATAGTAACTTTTCTCTTTTTTTTGCCACACACAACACTCAGAAAAAAAGGGGGGGAAAAAAACCCTTTGCAAAAGTTAAAAATAAAAAAAAAAAAAAAAGCCAAGCCCAGACGGTCTGAAGAAAACTTAGTCCAAAAAAAACGTTTCAGAAAAGGAGAAAGTACCGAGAAGGGAAAAATAGAGAGGGGGGAAAGAAAAAAAAAAGCGAGGTTCCCTTCGTTTTATTCCCCGTGCTGCCTGCCAGCCGCCCTGCCCTGCTGCACTCCCCGCCACTCCGCACCCAGCTGTCCCCCGTGCCGCCCGCCCGCCCGCCCTATATAGCGCGGCGGCCGCCGGCCCGCCCCGCGCCATGAATAACGCGCGGCGCGGCGCGGCGGGGAGCGCCGGCCCTCGCCGGATCCAGGGCTCGGTCACGCAGGGCGGCGCGGTGCGGGGGGAGTGGGCGGGGGACGCGGCGCTGCCGGGGGTTTATGGGCGCTTCTTAGAAATCAGCTGTGAGGGGTAGGGCTCTGGCGAGAGGGCCACGTCGTGTGTCTCTGGTTTCAAGAAAAAGTGGTCTCTCTGTGCGTGTGCGCTTTCCCGTGACTGCATGCGTTTCCTTGGCACCGGGAGAGGCGAGAGAAGCTCGCGGGGAGTGCCCTTTTTTGGACTCCTAGCTACAATCCCGTCCGCTTTGGGGCTGAGAGCCCCGGCCCTGGCGAAGGTGCGCATGTGCCTGCGCTCGCACACGCTCGGCAGGTTCGGGGCATACCTTGAGACCGGCTCACAGCTCACATGACAGCTGCCTCTCCAAGGAACACGGCGGGGAATGGGGGAATGTGGGAATGTATGTGCGTGACCACACCCACACGCTCCGGCACACCACCCACGTTTGCCAAGGTGTTGCTCTTCGGCCCAGGACTCGGTCCATATGTTGCCACATCTTCGTGGATGTGCATCCCCTAACTTTTTTTTTTTTTTTTTTTTTTTAAGCGTTCTTTGTACTTTAAAAACTTTTCCTTCCATATATAAGAAAACGGTTTCCCTTGCAATGTCCTCACAAATCTAGGATAAAAAAGACAAACAATCCATCTCCCAAACTCCCAATACCTAAATTCTATGTGGATTTTGCATAATGCCTGTATTTGTCTTCAGGGCACTGCGAATTCTCTTCCTACTTTACTAGGCATGTTTTGCTCCCCCTGTTAACTTGATTTTAACTTTGAGAAAATCTGAATTGGCAGTGCCAAATTTTGTGAGCATTTTTTCTGAAGCTCTACTGGACTCTCATGAGGAAGAGGATGGTGAGGTGTATATATAGGCAAATATATGGTGTTTCAGTCAGAGAAACTTGGTCCTCATGAAAAATAAAATCAGCAATGCTCACAAATACTGGTTTATACAAATGTGTTCTGCCGTGGGAATGATCAGCCAGACTACTGTTCTACTTTCAACCCCTCCATCATTAACACTGGAGCTCATCTTCCAGTAATTCATCAGCTGTTCAAATGTGTCAAAATTCAAGTGGAAGAGAGAAGTATATATGTTATTTCTCATGGTACTGGCCATGATACTGTTAATCTTTAAAGCTGCACTTTTAGCAACTCATATTTTTAGATAATTAGAATCACCTATTCAGTTTTCTCTGTTCGTAATTCAGTACTAATACCTTGCAAATAGCATTTTGATAGGAGCATCATACATAGCAGGATAAAAATATCTGGTTTTATTTGTGAATAATATAGTGCAAGAGTAGACACTTTTCCTTGGGAAATTAAAGATGCTTTAGAAGAGAGATCAGCCTTGCTTAACTCCTCGATGGGTGACTACCGAGGCTTTTCAGTATTCTTTTGTCCTTCTGCTCATTTTGTTAATTCACCAAAAGAGGTCGCAGGTTGTCCAGGATTGAATTACAGATTCCCCATCTGCACGAGCCGATCTACAAAGGGGGAACTGATCAAGCCCAATATCCTGCGTGTTTGGTTTCACTGTGGGTTTTTTGTTGGGTTGTTTTATTTTGTTTTGTTTCAGATTGGTTTGGTTCGGTTTGGTTTGGTTTTCCCCCAGACTATTCCAGGAAAACTTGCTGCTACCTTTTTTGTCAATTTTGGTTTTAATAACTGTTTGTTGGTGATGAAGTCCAAAAGTCCTCAGGGCTGTCTGGCAGCATGTATCAGATTAGGTCTAGCAGGAAGAGAAGTCCACCTTGCTTTCACACTTTATGTATACATGTATCTTTTTATTTGGGGTGGGGTTTTATAGCATGCTGCTTACAAAACTGAAACAGAAATGCATGGGAAATGCTGAGAGAACATAAGTAGAATGGGGCAAAGGGGATTGGAGGAATAAAAGAGAACAAGCTTTTCCTTCACCAGAGTTATATATCTCTCACACACTAATACCAGTGTAACTTGTATTTCAGACTGTGGCAAGAGCATTTTCATCAAACTGAATTTTTATTCTCACAATCAGAAAGACTTGATTTTCCTTTCTCTTCTTTCTTTTATAATGTTACACAAGCTGCTGTGCACCATTTTGAAGTTGTGTTAATCCAAGGAGATATCTTCAATGTCACAAAATAGAAGAAATCACCCGTTTTTAATAACAAAATTGTTGAACTTAGTATGTCTTTTTAAATAGCATTAATCAAGATTAATGCAGCATCAAAACACTTTGACCAAAAGCACTGTAAATGAAAAACTGACACCAACAAAGATGTAGCTGCATCACCTTTCCAAGGAGAAAGCCAGTGATGTGTCAGAGGTGAGGTCGGTCTAACAGCTTCTGCTCAAAACACGGTGGATTGCACTGTCTTAATCAATGGGCACTGAATGAAAATACACTTATGTGAATAAGAGAATTTGGTTCAGAGCTGTACGTGGCAATCACAAGATGGATACCAATGTATCTGGACAGCCAGATTAGAAATTTATAAAGAAAAAAACTAAAACTGAAAACCTCAACGTGCACCTATAGCTCAAAACCCCAATATGCTCCTATAGCTAACAGCTGAATTACACTTATATCCCAAACTCCAGTATTATTGATGGAACTTTTTTACTTGAACAAGAGCAAGCACTAAATATGGAAAGTAGCAATGTTCATAAAGCTGTACCAAATCTGAATTTTCACATTTACATGTACTGTTTATTCTAGAGGCTTTGCATTTTTTCCTGTTTATTCAGTTTTACAAGGAGGAGAGGGAGAAAAAAGTCACGTACTGAATCTCTACACTCAGTCCTAGACAATAGAAAGCAGAGGAGAAACAACTGAGAGGCACTGTGCTTCAGCAAATTCCATGTTCTCCCATATTATGGAAGCACAAAAAGCATGTATTTTATTTCCCTTTCCACTTCATCCTCCCACCTTCTTCATAATCAGCTCTCTTCTCTAATGCCTTAGCTGAATTGACACTTTTTTTGGTATGTTTCTATGGTGGCTGTGTTTGCCACAGGGACAAAGCATGGGAAATAGAGTTGTGGTTGAAAAAGCTCTACTTTCAGCTTCATGTTCACTTTATGGAGCAATCCCAACTGTTTAGTGAAATTCCTTATAGAACATGTGGTTATAGCACCTAAAATGTAACTGTCAAGAATGTGACCTTCCCTTATAATGCCATTTTAAAACTTGTGTTACTTCACAACCCTTTTCCTTTTTTTCAGACAAACAAACAAAAAAACAGAAAGCAAACCCAACAAAACCAACAAAAACAAATAAAAACCAAAAACACCAAACAAAAAACAACCAAATGAAAAAGCTTTCACTGAAATCTAGAGATACATAGCTCACCTTGGTTTGAGGGCTAAATCCTCATTTACAAAGCATCCATTAATTTTGGTATTTCTGCTCTTCTTTTTGCCAACCTTGAAATATTATGTACAATAAACTTCTGAAGAAAAGAGAAAGCAGAATTTCCTAAACATGTTCTTGTTTTTCAGAGGAAGAATACTCAGATTTACAGTGAAGTCAGTTGATATAATACTAAATTAATAGATACTTTGCAAATCACTGCTTTCTCAAAGTCAAGGAGTAAAATCTCAGCATTATTTGTCAACTGTCTGTTAAAACATAGTTTAATGAAAATTTCCTACAGACCTCCTTCTGGTTTGGGGACCGTGAGCACTTCAGGTGTTTTCCAGCTCTTTAGACTCTTATGCCAGGTATGCAGGCTTACAAAGAACAAATTCTACAGGATTCCTCGCTACTGCTACCCTGTGCTGCTTGTCTGAAGACGGCAATCTGAATTGAGTGTGATGGAACAAACTGAATTTGAAAGAAGATAAAATTAGGAAACCAAAGGAGAAATAACAAATGCTTTGCTGGGAAAGCCAACTGAATCGAGACATTTCTATCAGAGAAATGTCTATATACATAATAAAAGGATATATTGATGGTATTACAGAAACAGTTGTCAAACACTTCCCTTTATTAATTAAGACGTCTTGTTAAACATAAAGAGAGGAAGAGTAGATAGCTGTTAGGTTTCCTTCTACAAAGCTCTTATCCAGAGATGTGTTCATATCTTTCATGTACTAGTTAGACATTATATAGTGATCTGGCAATAAAAATCATATGGAATTTAAAGAGAACAGGGGGATTAGAGGGAGGAGGAAGTGAAGGGAAAAAATCTAGCTCCAAGGACTTCTTCATAAAAAGAGAAGAAGTTACTGCTTGACCAGATGTTCTCCACACTCACACTGCAGTCAGCAATCTGGGTATTGTGCACGTTCCAAAATGCAG